TTATTAAAAAAAGAAATTTAAAAAAAAATTTCGAAAAATTTGTTTAATAGTAAGGCCATTAACATTATTTAAATATTTATTTACAAATTCGACGAAAACGGTTACGTTACGAATTATAAATTCCGCGCGGTAATTAAAAATAATTAATAACCTAACGGTTTAAAAAAGATTTACGCTGTTACGTTTGCAACCAAAAGCTTTAAAATTATAATAGCAATTATGGTTTATTTTAATTTTGAAACGCACTAAATTAACGTTAGCAAAGCTTTTTTTTACGCAAAAATTGGCGATAACTATATACCCGTTTACGTAAAGTTCCTTTTTAGGTATTACCGAAAAAGGTTCGTAGCCCGGTTTAAAAAAACTTTGTACGGGCTACGGAATTTACCGAAATTGTAATACCTAGCCCTCGAAAAAACCCTTAAAAAGCTAAAGCTTACCCCGTTAACGGAAAAGCCTTATTTATTTATAAGTACAAAACGTAAGGTTTTCCTTTTCCTGTACGTTAACGATATAATTATTTTTAACCGTGCTACGTATTTAAAAATGGCAACGAAAGTGTTAAACGGTTTTAAAAAGGAGTACAAAATAAAAAAGGAACCATTTAAAGTTTTTTTTAAAGTTTAAATCGTAAAGGACAAAAAGGCACGAACAATAACCTTGCATTACAATTTTTATATCGATAAAATCGTTAATACTTTTAACTTTGGGAATAAAAGCGTAAAGCGTTCCTTTTTGCCTAGCTAAACGCTTAAAAAGAATTTAAAAGTAACGATACCCGCCGAAATCCTGGCCATGCAAAAAAAAATCGGGTTTATACTTTATACGGCCATTACTATCCGCCCAAACGTCGCTTTTGCGAGCGCAAAACTTTCCAAATACTTTATAAATCCAAATAAAAAGCATTTAAAAGCGGCAAACCATACCCTTTTGTATTTAAAAGGGTCGAAATTTTATTGCATCCGTTTAGGGAACGTTTTAAAGTCCAACCATTTGCTTTTCGCTTTAAACGCTTCCTTTGCTAACGATAAGGAAACGAGGAAGTTGTTTAAAGGATACGTTATGTTTTTATTCGAAAGGCCCGTAGCGTAAAGAGCAAGGAAATAAGCTACCGTTACAACGTTCATTACAAAGGCAAAGCTTTTAGCGCTTATAAAATTTGGAAAGGAAATTATCGCTATGCAAAGGCTTTTCCAAAACCTGCGCTTAGAAATTAATATTTTTTAAAAGCTTTGCTATAACAACATACAAACGATTCGATTGGTAATTAAAAAGGGCACCCGCATTAATACGGCTTTAAAGCACGTAAATATTATAAACATGTGGTTACGCTAAAAGTACCAAAAAGGAACGTTCGACGTGGTATATTTTAAAACCGCTTTTATACCAGCAAACGGGCTTATTAAAAACTTCCCGCTTTACAAATTTAAAACATTTAAAGCTACTTTAAAATTGTACGATTCCTTTAAAAACGGGTCGGCAAATTTAACACGCAGCCAAAAACTTCGGAATAAATATTAAAAGCGTATAACGTTTGCATAAAAATACAATGCAAATTCTTTTTTTATTAATAAGTATAAAGCATGCCGGTTTTAAATAATAAAATGGCATTTAATTATAACGCGTGCAATTTCCAAAAGCGCTGCACTTTTTTTTGTCCATTTTTCCTTTCCATTTTAGCCTTAACCCTTACTTATTATTTAATGGATAAAAACATTTTTATAAAAGGAATAGCCCTGAATTATTACGGTTTTAATGCCATTTTTTTAACCTTTTTCGTTATTATTACCATTTTTCCTTTTTTTTGGGGTCGGGCTACGAAAAGCAGAATTATTTCGACGGGGAACCTTTTTGTTCCTTTTTTTAGCCTTATCCTTTTATTTGCTGCCCGGTTTTGGGTAAGGCTCGAAAAAATGGCTTACTATTCCTTTAAATTTTTTAATTTTAAAGCAAAAGCTACCCAAAAGCTTTTTTTGGAATAAAGCAATTGCAATGCGCAATTAAAGCAAAAAAGGGAAAAGGTTGCAACGGTAGTTGCTTTAAGCACATTAAATATACCGTAAAGTACAACTATTCCGAAAGGAACGCGCTATAAGTTTATTGCTGCAAAGGCCCCGAAATTTTATTAAAAAGCTTTTAATACATTTATCGCATAAGACCGCGCGGGGAATAATATTATCGGAAAAGCCAATTAAAACGTTCCCGTTAAAAGAAAGTCGACGGTTTTGCTGGAAAAAAAAGCTAAATAGCATTTTTTTTAAGGATTAAAACGGAAAAAAAAGGGGTGGTTAGCATAAAACCCGCGAAAACGGTTAAAAACGAATTAACCTAACTATTTACCTTTATTTTTTTACCCGCTTTGCGCTTCCGGGTATTGGGGGAAACGACGGGCTTATCGTTATTATCGTTATTTTTTTAAACGAACCGATTAACGAATTTATCGAAATTAAAATCGATTTTAATTGTTTAACGAATAGGCTAATCGGGCCCGAAGCTTTTGTTTAATCCAACCGGAGCTTAAAAAGCACCGGTCGGATTGGGTTGGGGATTAAAACGAAAGGTGCGAAAAGTAACAAAAATAACCGAAAGTTCGAAAACGGTTACGGTAGTATTGATCGGGGTTTAGGTTAAAAAACGGCGCAAAGCTTCCATTCGCTTAGCGTAACGAGCCCGATTAGCTTTAACCCGTTTAGCGCTTTCGGCAAACGCACGCGCTTTTATCGCTTTAATTGTTTGGGCGTTATTTTAAGCCTTTTCGCGGGCAGCTTACTGCTTTCGCGCGTTTTTTATATTCCGTTGCTTGTTTTTTTTCGCAAAGGATTTATTTTTTTTTTGCTTGTCCTTTTCGATTTATTAAGCTTTTTTCCTTTTTTTAAATAATGCTTTTTTCGTTTATTTAGCTTTAATTATTAAAGCAATTATGGCCGTTTACAAATCCGTATTATACGCGTACAAAACGAAATTAGCAAAAAAGCGATAGGTTAGTAAAAAAGCAAAAAGTTACGATTTATTTTTTTTGGGCTTAAACCCGGTTAAGCTTTTTGCGCTTAACGCGCTTTCGAACGGTCGTACGCGTCGCTTTGTTACCGGCAATACCCATTTTCCAGCCAATTTATTAGCACCGTATAACGCTTTTAAAACATTACGCCGCCGCGTAAAGCATTTACAATTGTTTGCTTTTATTTTTGCAAAAATTTTTATATTAGCAAAAGCTTAAACGATGGGAATAAAAGCGTAGGGATTTACGGATTGGTAAGGAAATGGTAGTAAAAAGGAAAAAAAGGAAGGCCGGAACGAAATGGAAAAAAAAAAGGTTTTAATTGCTACGCTTACCTTTTCCCGGTAATGGCTAAAGCATTTATTTCGTTACCTTTTGTGGCTAAAGCATTTGCTTCGTTGCTTTTAGCAGCGAAAAGCGCTTGTTTCGTTACTTTTCGAAATTAATGCGCTTTTACGAATACCTTTTAAAAGCGGAAAACGCTTGCTTCGTTACTTTTCGAAGCTAATGCGTTTTTACAATTAACCTTTAAAAGCGCGGTAAGCTTTTAAATCCTACGCTATTAATATAGCAACCAATTTTCCTTTGTTTTATTTATAAATAACTTAAAAAGTTCGTTTAAAAGGTATATTACAAAGTAAATAGTATATATTGTTATAAAAAAGCTTTAGGCATAAATATTAAATGCTTAAGGTATCGGAAAAGCGGTCCCTTTGCTTGGAAGCGTATAACGCTTCCAAGCGTTAAAAGGGAAGCTTAGTAAGCAAGGAGGATAGGGAGTTACGTGTATATAAAGGGCAAAGGCCTTTACGGGACCCTGCACTTCAAATCCTTTCCTTTTTAAAGCATATTAACCGGAATAGCCTCATACCGTGCCTATCCCTTTTACCTGCAACATTATTTCGTTAAACAAGCAATGCTTTCGTTGCTTAATAAGTATCGCTTATTGTTAATTAACAATTACGAATTCCATTTAACGTTACCGTTTTAAAAAAAGTGCGAAAAAAAAAAATTGTAATTTTCCTTTTTTTTCCGCATATAATTGTTAAGGGTTAATCGGTGCAAAGGCGGGTAGTTACCGGGTTACGGGCCGGATGCGGTATTTCCTTTGTTAAACCTCCGTAAATTTCTTACCAAAAGTGCTATCGCTAACAAAAATTGTTCCTTTTTTAACCTCCCTTTTTTTCGTACCCTTTCGGGCACCCGGGGTCGGTTTTTTAAATTTTCCGCGCTCCAAACGCTTTCGTGCAATTTAAGCTTTACCTTATTTTTTAATTTTGCCATTATGCTTTGGCCGCAATACCGGTAATTCGCCGGCATATCCCCGGGGGGTCCGTGCCCGGTTAATTGCTAACGCCCCCCTTTTTTTTTTTTACCAAGCGGTTTCGCCCGTACATTTAACGCTTCCCGCTTTTTGCCGGGCGGTTTTGCCCGTACTTTTAACATATTGCCCCTTTTCGATACGGTTTGTCCCAAACCGTTTATACCGCGCGTGCGACCCCGTAAGTAGCCGGTAGCTTACGGTATCCCGCCAAACCGCCCCGATGCCCGGCAACGCTTAAAGAAACCGGCTATAAAACTTTGTAACATTTGGAAAAATAGGTTCGTACCGGCATATAAAAGGCTTTTTTTCCCGTTTAAAGCTACAAACCTTTTTTTTTTTTTTTGTACATTTAATAACTATTCCAATAATTTTAACGATTGTAATCGTAAGTAATCGGTATTTAACCGTTTTTTTTAAGTACTTAAACTTAACCAATAATTATAAATGTTATTTTTCGTACCCGATTACGTAAAAAAGGTAATATTTTTTTGGGTGTCCGTTTCGGGTTTTTCGGTCCTAACCGGCCCGTTAGCCTTTTTTGGTAACCCCCCGGTATTTTCTTTAATTATCGTAATTTAATTGGATTCGGATTCGGTTTTGCCGGAACTTTTAGTTTTTTAAATCCTTAACGATCGCTTTGCCGGTAACCTTTCGGTAAGCCTTTTAAATGTTGCGGGTTTATCGGGCCCTTTTGCGCTTGCAATTTTTTAAAATTCCCGCAAGCGTTTTGCCGGTAACCCTTTGGCGGGCTTTAGCCGCCGCGGCAAAAAAACCTTCGCCGAAAAAAAGCGTAAAGCGCGCAATAAGCGCCGCCGCAACGCTTTCGATTCCAATAAACTTGCTTTTAAAACGAACATTGCTTCCTTTTCGCTTTATATAAATATTTGCAACGCGCTTCCGTTGCAAAAGGTTATTAATTTCCAATAAAGCAATAATTAAAACCTTATTTATTTGCTTTTTTTTAAGGACAATTATACGGAGCGTACGGTATTTTGTGGCCGTTATTTTGGTCGTTAAGCATATTAAAACTATGCCGTTAACCTTTATATACCGATATGCTCCGATAATTGTACGGGGTTTTCCAAATATATTTATTGTAAAAACGTAATCGGCAACAAAGTTTGCGTTAAACTTTTCGAATGGTTTTGGGAAATGGCCCAAAACTTTTACAAAATCCTAAATACCGTTTACAAGCAATTGCCCAAAACAATACTAAAACTTTTCGAAAAGCTTACCAAAATTTAATTTCGCGCCCGTAAAGTTATTTAAAAAGCCAAATCCTTTTATACCATATCGGCCGAACAATTTGCGCGTTACAAACGTTAAACCGTTATTTAAAAGCGCATTTAGCGCAAAATTGCTAACGTTACAATATTAAAAGTTACCCAAAACATTTTTTAATAATTTTACGCTATTGCCGTTTAAATAAAAAAGCAAATTTAAATTTCGGCTAGCATTAATAATTTTTTTAACGAAATAAAAGCGTTTTTTAAACGTTTCGAAAAAGGTATAGTTGTTTTTTTTGGTAACATTGCCGTTAATTTTGTTACAATTGCGGCGCATTCGAATACCCAAACTTATAATCGCGCGGTTTCCCGTAAAGGTGCGGCGTCCGTATTAGCGCCGGGAAATACCGCTTTCGGCGCCAACAATTTTAGCGGCAACAATTGTAACGCTAGCAAAAAAAACGTAATTTCCGGAAATTTTGGTTTTTTTAAATACGGCATTTAATTAATTTTTTTTACATATTTTCCTAATTAATTATTGGTATTTCCTTTTCGAAAAGTAATTAATTTTAAATTTTTTTTATTAATTTGTTACAATTAAAATTACAATTTCCTTTCGTTATATTGCTTTTGCAACATTGCAAAATCCTAATATTTTTAATTACTAATTAGGTTTTAATGCCCCAATAAATAATTTTAACATGTTTTTTTTTTGCCCCCCCAATGGGTTTAAATACCGCTAACATGCATTTACCGTTACCCAAACGTTTAAGCCCGTCCGTTGTACCATCCGGAAATTTTCCTATTTCTTTTTCGGGCAAGCAATAATATTTTTTACTATAACGTACGTTTAAAGTACGGTAATTATTTTAGCGTATTACGCCAAGCATGCCCTTTACGGGCTTTCCAAAATGTATTACACTTTGCATATTTTTTAAAATTTAAATGTATTGCATTATTAATTTAAAGCGTTTTCCGTGTTATACCGTTTTTATTTAATTTTTTATTTATAAAGTACGATATTTTACGGTTATTACAAACCGTTTACGGGTTTTTTTGCGTTTTTCCCCGGTAACTAACCGGTTTAGCACGTTAAAACATTTTTTTAAGCCATTCCTTTGGCCTTTATTATTCCTTTTTTGTAATACCCCCGTCCTTTCCAGGTATTTACCCGTTAAAGTCCGGTATTTTCCTTATCTTATAAATTCGTTTCCAATAAATTTGCTTTATACGTTTAAACAATTTTTTTCGTAATATTCCTTTTTAAAATTTATAAATTTTCCGATTCGTTGTAATTTATCCATTTAACCAAATATTTTCGTTTTCGCAAAAGCCCTTTATATTTTAACAAAACTTTTATTTCGAAGCAATCCTTTTCCTTTTTTTTAATTTTTGGTTTTTTATTTTTTGGTTTTTCGCCGGGCTTTTTTTTAAACGCCCGCAATAAATTTGCCGGGAATACGTTATATATCCGGTAATTTACCGAAAGCTTTAACCGAAACGCTAAACCGGTTAACCCAATTATTTTTAAAACCTGGAAAGGTCCTAACCATTTGTTCGATAGCTTTTTCGACGGCCTTTTTATTTTAATATTCGCCGTATTTAGCAATACCCAATCGCTTACTTTAAAAAGTACCGGGATCCTGCCTTTATTATAGTACTTTTTGTACATATTATTCGCTTTTTTTAACAATCTTTTGGCTTGCTTTTTAATTGCTTCCAAAGCCCCCGCTTTAATTTTAACCGCTACCGAAGGTTTTTTTTAACCACCCAAAAGTTATAAAACTTTCGTAAGTAAAACCTTATTAATAAAAACGCCGGGGTTTTTTGCAACCCCAAATGCACGCTCGTATTATGCACTTACGTTGTTAAATGCAACAATAACGCCCAATCGTTTTGCCTTTTCGCAA